CTCAGACCCGGCACTTTGCAGTTTGAACTTAGATAAACGCTGAAACAACAACAAAAAAAACCAGAGAGATGAAAGACTACTGGCTTTTCTGGCTGAGTAACAAACCTGCCTAATGGGGCAAAGTATCACTGAGGTAGTAATGGCTTCTGAAAAAAAATTATTATGTCAAATCCGAAGTTCGGTGACTCCTTTATTAAAAAGGTGTTTGATGCCTTTGTTTAAAATTGTAATCACCACAGAATATACATAGCTGTAGTTGTACATTTTTTATTCTGGAAAAAAATTTGCACACTTCCATACAATGGTAACATGGCAATGAAAATCTTTATTTCCAGATGTTCAGACATCTAAGTATTTTTCCAAATCATATTCAAACACCTGCATAGCAGAATTAAATGATAATAGAGGAGAAGAGGCACTTAAATTTAGAGATTGAGGTTGTAATTTAATGGCAAAAATCCATTTGAAAAGGGATCACTAAGCCCTGGCTCTATTAGAGTGCAATTACTGAGAGAGGACACCTTGTGGCAGTTGGTGGTTGAGTAAATGCACATACCTGTGAAAAGTTTACATAGCTGCTTCTTTGTAATAAACGTAATAAGAACCTATGGTTCTCTTCTCTATAAGGATCAGACTACAGTCTGGTAAAGTCCATTTTATTGTATTCAAAATATAAATTATCAATAGACAACTTGCTACTGTTTCGTATTTAGGTTTCTTTTTCTAAACCTTTCTTATCAGTGTTTTGCTCTTAAAGGAGTTATCATAAAATTTAAAGTCTTTTTTGCAAGCTCAGGATTAATTCCTGTTTGAGCAAGAATTCACAAGAATGATTTTGATGTTCAGGTTTTTTTGTAAACATTATATCTTTTTATCCAAACATCCTTTGATTTTATCTTTTTTTTATATTATCTGTGCTTTTCTTTTCTCAGTTCAACTCAGAAATATCTATGTTCAAGGTAATCAGCATTTAGGTGGTGGCTCTTGTTTAGAGTCCTTCAGAGGACTATCTCTGGTAGGATCATAGCAGGTAGTGTTTTCCAAACAAATTTTTGAGTTGAGCATTTGAGATCTTAAGATAGTGAGGTGCACATAGTTCTCTTTAAGGTGCTCCTTGAGCCAGTCATGTGGTATTTCAAACCTATACATGCAGTACTGAATCTTGAGTAGCCCTGGATTCATGTCTGGTTTTGTAGATGGGCTTGGGACCACCCATAATATTTAATTTCATTTTTATGTTAGTCTCTATTCTGAATAAAGACAAATTTAAGCAGAAGACCTCAAATGGATGAGATAAGGTTGTCCTATGATCTGTTTTAATCATACTTTAACTTAAAAAAATCATTGGCATAATATGTGATGCAGGCATATATTCCCCATGTACTTACGAAGAGAACTCCTATTAGCTTTCAGTTGCAAAAGAAGTGCTGAAGGGTGAGAATCTTCATGCGAATGCAGAAATAGAGGCTAAGAATGCTCCTGAGAGCCTTGAGAATTTTCACAAACAATGTACAGCAGAAAAACAAAATGGAGGGGGGTCATATTGTGAATGTGTTCATTTGAGAACTGGATTATACTAGAAATGCTTGCTGGGAGGCTCTAAATCTCAGTCTTACCAGTTTATGAAAAATTATAGTGTTTAAAAAGCCCAACTGCTTTTTAAAGATATGTAAGGCCAGAAAATCAATTTTTAAATCATGGTAAGTAGTGGTAAGTACCTTCAGCCTGGCAGTTTGTTGGAACTTCTTTTTTTTTGTACCTATGTTTTGTACCTATTTGTACCTATGTTTACAGCAGTAATCTCAAGTTCACACTTTTAATTCAGAACTAGTTTTCCTCAAATTACATACCTGTAAAACGCAAAAAAAGAGCACTTCTTCCCAGGTTGTTTGACTGTTGGAAATTAATCCAAACAAACAGATTAGCATTACGCTGCCATTGCAGTGAATGTAGTTAATGAATATAACAATAAGCTGAAGCACATCTAATCAAATTGAAATAAAATTATGATTACCAAATAATAGTGTGTATCTCAGATTTTTAAATGGAATTACATCAAATATTAATTTAACATAAAACACAGGGGGAATTTTTCTTGAAGCATGGCCAAAGATGAAGGTTTTCTGTTTTATTATTCACTCTCACAAGGATACCGTCAAAATTCAATCACTCTTTTGTTTTATTGATATCCAGAATTCCATTAGACCTGGTCATGTTGGAGGAAAGATGAAACATGCCAGCTTTTTATCTCTGTGTTCATGCTTCTTGCAAGTAAAGGCATAAAATGGGATTCTGCAAACTTCATTGGATATCTTGCCTAAGACTGCTGTCAGGGTTCTAGTAGACCTTTTTACAATTTCAGCTGCTAATCTACTCTATGTGATAGTTACAGTTACAAATTATTGTTTGTATGTTTTGCTATTCTAGGTCAACTGCATGGGTACATACAGAAATTTCTGCTCATCATTTGACATGATTCTCTCCTGACAAATCCAGCATTTTACTGGGAAGAACAGGCATTCAAATCCTGATGGAATCAGGCTGTTAAGGTAAAAATCTCTTTTGCAGCTCTGGTACCTTTTTTCTGATGGCAGCACTGAACCAACCATTACTGATGTACTAGAGACAGGAGCAGATTAGGTAATGCTGCTGCTGAGGGCCAGTGTAGTCAAACAGCAGGAATTTATTGTTGCTCTGATGCTATTGAGCACTTGATTTACAGTATAGCACAATATAGGATCAGTCAGTGTCTTCTCTGTGGCAACAAAGTTTTATCTAATTGCTTGTGTTGAATTTTTCCTTACATGGTTAAAACATAACATAATACAGCTGTATAGTTTGGAATGTGTAGTACCTTATATAGTTGTATTAATATTATCTTATTATAATTCTGTATTCACTCAAGATATTGAGATATCCAGTTTCACAAAACTTCTTCATTGTAAGTTTCCATGTAAATGCTGGTTTTATATATAGGTACATGAAGTCACAGACCTCATCTTAAGCATAAATCCTGTCTCTTGGTGTCTTAGAGGTTGGCTTTTGTTGGGGTTTTTTTTTTGCATGTAATTAGGCATTTTAGTTAGTATGACACACTAACACACTAAGTGTAACACTCTGAGACCCAGTGCAGTTAATGGAGACAAATGTAAGGATCCAACAGCACAGAAACACCTGAAGAAAAGGGGCTTTAGTGAACATATATCTATATCTATATCTACATATATATATCAGGTAGAAATATTGAATCAAGTTGAGATTGACATTTATTTTCCTAATTTGTGTATTTGGTGCCCATGTTGTGATGGAGAGTGAGCTGCCATGCAAGAGGGGAATACTGCTACCAGAGAAAGCAGCTTTGTTGGCGCGGCCCTGCTTCTGGCTCTGCCACACTGACACCCCACAATGGGCCAAAAGAAAGAACATGTGGAAAAGCCTTTTCCACCCCCTTTATATCTCTTACCGTTTACTTAGTATTAGATTTATTTTTACTTACTATTATTCTTCCATGTTTAATAGATACGAGTGATTTAGCCATTATTTATTTCAAACTGAATACTATTTTTGATCTATGATTTCTAGGAGAATGTTTAAAGAATTTTCAGGCTTAGAAAAAAATTAAATTTCTAATCTTCTCATCATTGCACAATCAAAGATTCAAAACTCATATTTATATTTATGAATACATAATTACTGAGACTCGTATATACATTTATTTGTGTACATATCTAAATGTTGCAAGAGAAGCATCAACTCACTGTGTTGCTTTCACATCATTTTGACAGATACTTGAAATACAGATTTCTTTGTGCATAGCAAGAACATGTATGTTTAAGAAACAGCATCTGTTTGCAGCTTATCTGAAAGAATATGAATAGATAAAAATAGATATTTTTCATCTATCACGTAATCTCCTGAATGGATAATCAAGAACAGTGGGACACAAAGGGTAGTGGATGAAATGCTGAAACTTAAGTCAGTGGGAATTTTGTTATTGAGTTCAATGGGACCAATATTTTAACTGATACATTGAAGTTCCAACCCCTACAAGAATGCAATAGGCAGGTCATTAATCATAACCATTTAGGGTTTCACTAGTACAAACCCATATTTTAAATTGTGATATGAAAAGTTATTGTTTTCTTGTACCCATGGGAGGGTGAGGTGATAGTACTCACACAAAAATTAAATTAAAATGGGGCTTCTTATTCATGATGGAAAATATATGCTGATTGGAGCAAGAAGTACTCGTTTTTTGCTTTTTTTTTAGAGAAATACAGTTATGAAGCACAACTGAAGCCTGAGCCTAAAAACATTCCCTTCATTTCTTCAGATGTCCTAGACCTCTTCTATCAACCACCATTACTTCAAGGTTAAGACACATGCAACACTAGATATGAAATTAATATGGATTATTTAAACTGAAAGGTTATTTTAAATTACCACTGTTCACAAATATGTGGAATCTTTAAAAGTGTGTGAAAGTGTTCTTTTGCAAAAGAAATATGAAATGCCCTTAGTAATTTGGAAGCATTTCCTGATGGTAGCCAAAATATCAGAAGTGAATATTAAATAACTTCTGAATCACTGTGTTCCTTCTTTATCTTCCATTACAAACTTTTGAAGCACAAACAAGATGATTTTCAGTTTCAAGAAAGTACTTAAAAATGCTTTATTGGATACCAACAGTAATTAAAGTATTTCTGGAATTGCCAAACTATAAATCTATGAGAATAATAATTAAAAAAATAAGTGTATGGAAAATTAAGAGAGTTCGTATCTCATTAGTTTTTCTAACTGATTTTTTAATATACTATTTTTCAAATGAATAGTCTATAATTGCTTTTACTATTAAACAGATTCTTAGATAGTATGATGATCAGAATGATATAATTATCCAGGATGATAGACTGAACTTTGAAACATAAGGATGACTTACATAGTATTGTTTATCTCCAAACATAAAATAAGACAAAATCTCAAATATGGTTATGCTTTGCAGGCTAAGAAGGTACATTCTAGAAAAAATATTTCTCCTATTAAACTGAGAGAGGGTAAGTATACTGGGAATTTAAAAGGAAGTTCTTCTCCACCTAGTTGTAATTATTTACAACATGGTAAATTTTTCTATAACATTCAAATAAAATAATCTCATTCACTAAAAAAAGGTTCAAGAAATATGCAAAATATTTTCATATATCTTGAAAATGTTAGATCACTTCTGAACTGTTGCCAAAAACATGAGGCGGCCGTGTCAGCTTATTCCAAGAAGGCAGACAGAAAGAAAATTAATCCAGTCTAGCTATCGGAAAATCTTTAAGGGGCTATAAAGTAAAATACAAATAAATAGTACAGATGATTACTCAGTCAGGAAAAATACATTTGTCTGTTATTCTGTCTATTCATCTGCAGCCTTTGTCACTCAGCCTCTTCACTTAAACGCATTTGTAAAAATAGCTTTCAGGCCAAAGCTCTGAAAAAGCTGACACAGACAGAAGAGTGAAACTTGCTGAGTGATTCTATGATTTTAGAAGAGTATTATATAAAATTCCCAATACCAATGGAAGGGAAGAAATCTTCATTCTACCCCACTTCCTTAGGGCAGTAATAAGTACTGTAACTACCGAAATAATTCTATCCTTTGTTTTAATTTTGAATTTATCTCTTTGTCCTTAGTTTACCAATGAGCATTTTTGTTACCAAAAAAAAAAAAAAATGGTGGCATAGATATTCTACCATTGTGCCTTCATTCATAAGTGTAGATGCAGGACTCGTACAAAATGCTTTGGCCATGAACCCATAGAGGAAGATGCCTACAGTGAAGCGAATTTCCAAAGGTGGCAGCAGTGTTTCACTATGGCCAGGCAGAAAATGAAATGCCACCATGTAATAGTAATAAGTAAATAAGGTGTATTCAAGTACCCAAAATAACCTGTGGGACAAAAGTTCTTTTTGATATGTGTGAATATGTACGCTGCTTTCCTCCAAAAATGTTGCTCCTTTAAAAAAATGCATGGTATCATATTGATAGCCACAGGGGAAAAAATTAGGCAGAAAGCACCATTTTAGATTTGGTGCAGGTGAACTCCCTCTTTGTCATGCTGCTCATGCTGCTGAGCAGCGTGACAAAGAGGGAGTTCACCTGCACCAAATATCCTGCCACTGCATGGCTGCCACTGTAGCCCTGCTCATCTATCAAACTCAAGGAAAAGACCTGTGAGATTTCAAAGTCTGGTGACTTAGGTGCAGACCCAGCTTCAGGGATTTGATGCAGTTCTTAGGTAATGTTACCCTTCTCTGACAGATCAGCACAATTACTTTAAAATATACTTTATTATTTAAACATTTTTATGGTTGGCCATAGAAATTAAGCAAAGATATTTCACTGTTATCATTCTGAACCATGGCATTGCCCTCCTAAGAGAATTAGGGTAGTTCATGTAACAGAGCATATAGAGGTTGCTTCAATATTCATACAGGAATTACATAATAGCTACACCATGAAAAAATTTGCTTTTGTAGTTTTTCACTAGTATGTTTCAAAATAGTCTCTTGTGAAATATTTTTTCTGTGCTGCTGCTTCCTTGATGGCTCATTTTTTGATTGCTCTCTTAAACATAAAATAGGCATCTCTGAGATATGCAATTAAAATGAGGATATAAACAGGGATTCATTTAAAGAAGGATTATGAGGGGAATTCTGAATCTAACTATATAAGTAAGGACTACAAATGTAACCCAGTGCATTCATTAATCTGATTGGCAGAAACCATGTAGCAGCCAGCTGAGAAACAACATTGAAATTGTTTTCTTATACTATGCACTTTATCAGATGTATGCTAAAGAATTCCATCTCTATCTAGTGTCACCTTGACCAATTCCACATTCCACTTACTGCAAAGGAAAATAAATTCCCTCCTCCCCCCCCCGACTATGTTGGTGCAACTGGCCTGAAGAAAAGGTATTTGGGAAGTGAATGTATAGACTTTGTAGAAAATCTGACCATCTTTCTGTCCTTCATTTACACAGCTACTCTGATAAAAATAGGACAGGCTATGAATAATTTTGATGACTAATCCAACTAATGCTCTAATAGCTTTGGACGTCTTTCTGTTCTGTCACATTATTTCAGCTCTGTGTATGTCCATGCCATCCCCTCTGCAATTCTGGAGATACAGGCAGCTTCCCTACCTCACCTGCTTTATCTTCCCAAAGTCATGCCATTAGTAAAAGGCAAGAATTCACAAGGATACAATGGCTTCTAATGTAGAAATCGACATAGATGACACATAGTGTAACACAAAGATAAAATCTGTATTTGGATTTTGAGAATATGATTCTATGAAGGAAATGGCTATGGATTTAAGGTAACTCTGGAGGAAACTCAGCTACATTCTTACTGCCATCTAGACACCCATTTCACTGTGCATCTGAATTGCCTGTCTGGCAGTTCAGAGTTGAGGAAAGAGGAGTCGTGGTGATTTTAGAGGTGTGTATGGATAGAACTGGCCACCCATGTCCAACCTGGAAACCAGGGTAGCTACAAAGACTGATTTCTTCCAAGCATGTCAGTAGCATTAATTAATGTTCTTAGAAGACCAACTTCTGCATATATGTTCACTGAAGCAAACATTACGCTGGTCTGCAGTTTACAGGATGCTTTCCTATAGATAGAAAGAGCACTATTGGGTCTGTGAAACTCATTCATTTTGAACCAAAGTAATCTGGGCACATGAAGGAAACCTTTTGTGCAAAAAAACCAACACTTGCATAAACAACTGAATTTTATCTCTTCTTGCTTCCTGCATGGATTTTTTGTGACTGGACTTAGGCAATAATAGAGAGAAGAGAACCCACCAATGCTCTCCATACTTCTCCAGTCAGATGATAATCTTTTGACAACACAGGATAACTATTTCCACTTCATATTGTAATTGTTTAGAAGTATAGCTCCTTCCTTACCCTTTCTTTACATTATAGCTTCTGCTGAGAAATCCTTGCTGCAGAGATCCTTCCTGTTTAGTTATGCATGAACTTCTTAGTCATCTTCCAGTTAAGTGGTGATCTACCTCTTCAACTGATATGTTTCTTTGGTAGATGGGAACAGTGACATAAATTCTGGTATTTTAATTTTTTACTATTCATCTGTTTTACCCTGTGAAGCTCATGGGTATTCAAGTAATTTTTAAACAATGTGGGTTCTTCTGTCAGAATGAAAGGTAGGTCTCCTGTTCGTTAAGTGTTGTTTCTGATCATATAGCAGTTATCAGTGGTTTCTGTGGCAAGTTCTTGCTTAAGAAGTCCTTATTTGGAAAGTCCACATCATGAATATAATTTCTGTTTTAGATGTGTGATATGCTGAAGTGACTGGAAAAATGCAGGTGTATAAGTATCAACACTCAAAAGTTTTAAAATAAGCCTTTAATGTAGCTCTTTAAAATAACTCTTTAAATGTATGCATTCAAACTAAAACCATATGCTAGTCTATATTTGCAACTGTTTTTTGTAAGACCATATGCAGAGAGATATTCTACTTTTAAAAAAAGTAACAACAAATGTATCTTTGTGCTTAGTTATCTGGGGTATTATAAACAGCATTTTTGGTTTATATTGGTTTAGCATCCATTCTTGCAAACCCTTTACCTATATTTTTGTTATTCAAAAGTACCAGTAAAGACAGTGAACAGCTTTTTTTGTTTCTTTTTAAATTTTTTTAACCTGTAAATAGGCCACAAAGCCACGGTGAGACATCCTGTCAAACTTGTGTAGCATTTCTGTGAGCCCCTGGGATCCTGTTTCAGAAGGTCAGTGTTGAAATTCTACTTCATTACACAAATGTATGGCTGTATGCTGCCATCTGTCTGCTCTGCAGCTGGGAGTCAAGTGCACCATTAGTTTTATGTATCAAATTGCAGCTATTTTTTGTGTTTCTGAAAAGCTTTAAAGGCTTCTGATGTACTATTTTACCTCATTTCAAAGCAGTTTCTTGGTCTGCTTTGGCTTTTCATGGGAAAGCAGATTGCAAGGCTGAAAGGTTTGACATATATAACCAGGTTATTTTTTCTCTGCTCCCCAAGACAATACCATTCTTATCATCTTTAGAGAATGAAAGAAGAACCAAATTGGTGTTGTCTGTGATATATGTAATTTTCGCAACTATTACTGTGACTATGTACCACCATATTCCAAAATACTATATGAGAACTCAAAATGTTAATTCAAGCCAAAGCCTATGATGGACTTTTTCTTAACTCATTTTTTATAAAACCCTTGAGACAGAATTCGGACTGACTAGCATCCTACAAATTCTGTATATTAAAGACTATTAAACATCATTATTGTGATAAAAATTGTAAGGGGAGAAAGAAATGGCATGTTGTGGTTTAAACCCATCTGGAAACTAAGCATCTCGCAGACACTTGCTCACTTCCCACCCTGCCTGCCCTCACAGTGGGGAAGAGAATTGAGAAAAGAAGCAAAACTCATAGGTTAGGATAAGAACAGTTTAATAGAGTAAAAGTATTTTAATAACATTAATGATAATAATAACAATACTACTAATAATAATAATTGTCATGAAAATGAGAGAGGGAGAGGAATAAAACCTGAGAGAAACAAGAAACAGCTGCTCACCACCTGCTGACCAATGCCCAGCCCACCCCCAAGCAGTGATCGGCCCCTCCCAGCCAACTCCCCCCAGTTTGTGTACTGAGTGTGACATCCTTTGCTATGGAATATCCCTTTGGCCACTTCGGGTCAGCTGTCCTGGCCACGTTCCCTGCAGTTCCTTGTGCAGCTCCTCACTGGCAGAGCATGGGAAACTGAAAAGTCCTTGACTTAGGGTAAGAGCCACTTAGCAACATCCAAAACATCAGTGTGTTGTCAGCATGATTCCCATAGTAAACCCAAAACACAGCAGTGAACCAGCTATTACAAAAAAAGTAACTCTATCCCATGCAAAACCAGGACATGGCACAATATTCATTTATTCTCTTCTTGTAATATGATGAGACTGATACTGTAATTTTTATTAATTTATTCCATTTTTTTCAGATCTTAACATTTTGTTCTTCCCCAGTGCCATTTTGTCCATTTTAAGTTATGATGCATGACCAAGTAGACAGTGAACACAAAATAATTTGTATAGCTCACATCATATCCATTTGACTATGCCAACATTAAGAAACTATTTGAAAATTTCAAATTAGACAAATTGATAATTTGTCAAATTTTTAAATTTATCAATTTCCAACATGAAATTGATAAATTATTGAAATATTATCTATAATATTTATTACTTATAATTGTACTGTGTTTTAGTGAATTCATATATTCAAAAACTAAGAAATGAGGATATGATATGATACTACTTTCCAACTCCAGAGGGAAAATTTTTTTCAAACTACCACAACTTTGCAGGCAAGAAGACTAGTTTTTATGTAGGTGCTATGTTTGAGGTTTTTATTTATACTCCAAACTATTTAATCCAAAAAAACGATGTTATTCAAACACCGAACATTTACAAAACTGCTCCAGAAGTTGATTTCTTTTAGCTAAACCCTAGATAACCCCTTCAGATTAAAAGCAAAGATATTTGTTATTGCAATAATTATGAAGAATAACAGTTACATTTTCTGAAATAGGAAAGCAATTTGGCAAACTGTGCATATATTTTCCATGTAGTCAGCCATTTCATGACAGTAAAACAAATCAAGAGAATATATTTTTATAAAATGCTGTTTCATTATTATTTAAACTATAATTTTCCCAGATAAACAGCATTGTGCATTTTACCCATATGCAAAAACACTTGTAAAACTGAGAGATTAATGGAGGGTCATCATTTACATCAAAGCATAGGGGAATGAATTCTGTACCTTTATGTTCTTGTGAGGAATATGAAGGTAATAAAACCAACATTTATTCTGAGGTTTTTTTCAAGAATACGTGCTGTTAAATAGTATTGCTAAACTTAATACACAGGCTGTTTTCAAAAGAACAGATCAGGAAAGATCAGAAATGGCATCTAGAATTTCTAGTGTGAAGTTCAAAGCATTAGAAATGCTGAGGAATTTTTATGAAACTTTTCTTAATTATGTTCTTTATGCCCTTTAATTAGCAAATTAAACAGAGTTTTTAACTTTGATTTTTTTTTCCCATAAGAATTATCAATCAACATGAATGCTTTTTAGTGAAGACTGGTTTTATTTCAAAATAGTTCTGCTTTCTGCAAATAACACAATGAAACTGTCAAAGCACCCTGCCCATTACTGTTTTAGCAGGTGGTCATATCATAAGCAGGATAAAATAAATGATTTTGTTGTTGTTGTTCAATTTATTTCTCTTTCTTTCCAAGTAGACCATGTTCCTTAAGTTTCTAATAAAAGCATTATGAAAAATTCACAGCACAGACCTGTAAACCCTGGGGAAAATGTTACCTAAAAGAGATTTAAACTGTGAAATTTTAAGTAATTTTTTAACAAACCATATTTTTAGCAGTGCTCACCCAGTATCTCTGTCTCAGTGTGTATGTTTCATGAAAATCATATAAAAGATACTTCTTTCCTAGTTAGAGTTTGATTCACAATGAAGTACCTCTGGCAGAAAGAGCTTAAGCAGTCGCTTGAGTGCCTTCAGTGTTTTAACAGCTACACAGTCAATTTAACTCAGTTTAAAAGTATCCATCATCAGATAGTCTATTTTCGTTAAACAGCCAGTGGATGTTATGCAGTCTGAATTGCTGGGAGGTTAAATCACATAATCAAAATGTGATGCTGAATAATATGGCTTGTAAGAAACTGGTTAATCCTATCTTCTGAGGCCATTGTAACAAAAGTGATGGTTATATTATATTAACTAGAGCCACTGAGATTGAATTGTTGTACTATTTTCTGTGGAGATTGGGGGCTTTTTGTTTGTCCAGGTCTAATTTGGTAAATCTTAGGGTAAATTAGCATTCTTTCTGCATGTACCACTACTTAAAGTTACTCAAGAACTTTTTCAGCATAGAAGTCTGAACCAGAATTTCTAGTGCTTGGAGGATTCCTGCTGCCTTGATCTCAAAGTGAAGACTCTTGCATCCTTAGCCTTTTGTTCTTCATTTCTAGACTGCTTTCCTCACAACAGATGTGACTGTAGCTGTAGATGCAGTGTTCTGCAGATAACGGATCACAACCATACTACGCTCAATAGCCATTTGGGTTTTTTCCCAGGATCAGAAACTGCTAGCAGATTTTCATGGGTGCTAGGAATTAAATTAGGAGAACGAGTTCCAAAGATGGGATGAAATGAAATGAAATTAAATTAAATGAAACCAAACAGACTGAAGTTCCTACCCATGGGAAGCTTCACAATTTCTGGGTTTTCCCTTTGATTCAGAGTGAAAATTTTCCCACGAAAATGAAATTTGAAAAGTCTGACCGGATCTGTTTTGAAGTCCTCTTCAAGTATGTTCTCAAAAAGGCTCCCAACTACATGGCTTTTTTCCCCCCTCACCTCTCCTGTTTCCTACATAAAAAAGTGTTTTGTGTATTACTCTTTCATTTTTCTTCCAGTCTTCCGGTTTGTCCTCTCAAAGTTGCTCCACAGAGTTTGCCTTCCGCCAAAGTACTGCAACTTGTTCTTTCTTTCATGATACAATCAAATACTCATACTGTATTGAAAGCATGATCAGTAAATGATATTGTTTAGTTTTATGTTCTTATGAATGTATATAGTTCTTTCTGTGAAAATAATGCAATTTCACTGATCAGAGGAATTTATCATCTTGTACCAGTAGGGGAAGTCTCTGATTTGTGTGTGAGAAAAATCCACAAAACAGATCAAAGTACTCTTTTGTTCAGAATGCTTGAATGCATCTTTCTGCACAAGAAAAGAAAGAAAAAATAGAAAAAAAAGATGTGGTTTCAGTTAACTGTATTTCCACAATAATAATCCTTTGATATTAATCTGGATGCTCAGGTAAAAGGTAGGCTTTCCAGCAACACAGCAGTCCCCTTTGAAGATCTAACTGTCCTTATAGCACAAATGCTCTATTTTCTTCTATTTGGGTTCATCCTCTGAAACAAAAGGTAGACTGGAAAGCCCTTGCTGAAAGGAAAATTCTTACTGGAGAGTGACTGCTAAGAAACAGTGTCTCATTAAGTTTCCCCAAGACTTTCATCTTGCAGCTACTAGCAGAAAACTCAATACAGCTCACAGCTCTCCTAGCTCAAGACTTTAAAAGCATAATCCATTTATGAAATAGGCTTGGTTGCTCCTGTTTCCTTTAATGTGAGAACCCTCTTTGTCTCATGGCCTGTGAGTCTGCTTTCCATCTACTTGCATGCTTCTGTCTGAAAGTGTGAGACAAGACCAGATTAATAGTAAATGGGTGTACTTGTCAAGATTTCCACTTGCTGAGAATTTCTAAAAATAAGGAGGAATGCTGTACAGATGAAAGCTTAAATCTGCTATATGAAAGTGAATACTCTGGCTTGATAATATTGAGTGGGCTGGAATAATTAGTGTAACAAACAAATAAAAATATCTCAGTTGTACTTTAACCTTCTTAGAACCAGAATGGTTGTGCCATCAATGTGGGTTACCTAGTGGTGTAATAAGAATAATCACTCTTGTCAATATGTAATATGGTACACCTGACAGGCACGTAATGGAAGGAGAAGTTCACATTTGGTAGATGCTATTAGCAAAGCCTCACAGGCACTATCTAGCCAATCCTCTGCCATATGGCTTCCTGTCCTGTTGCCTGAATCGAGTGGAACTAAGTGAGAATTTTGAATGTTCAGTGCTGGAGAGAGGACAGCTATAAGCCAAGAGAGAGGCTATCTCTTTCCTGTCTTCATTCTCTCACCTTCCTCCAAATTCAAATTTTATTGCAGTCCTTTCAGCTCACCTGTCAAATTCTTGTTATTTTTATCTGTCATGCTTATATAGATGAAGCGTGTAATCCACTTTTGCTGCTTGAAAATAGGATGATACTCATCTCTGGGTAAGTAGGTCAAATTTGGCTTTTTATGATTATTGACATTCTTTTTATGGCCCTGCTATTTTACTCCTGTCAGCTGTAATGCACATGTGGAAGCACTCAAGGTAACATTAAAGATAGATGGGATAATCGCTGCAACTTGCTGCTGCATTGAGAAATGTAGTGCCACTACTTCTGCAGCGGAGGTCAGCTTCCAGTGGGCACACAAAGTACCAGCACCATTTATATCTTTGATCTCTGGTTAGAATGAGTGAGTATTGAGACTGAACTATATGCCTCCCCGAGGTCCCCCTTTATCCTGGAGATGAAGAAAGTTTGCTTTGCTGCAAATCGGAGTTTTCCATCTCCAGAAAAATCAGTCCAATGCTACTACTTCCAAGACTACTAAAAGCTCTGTGGAAGTAAAAGTAAATGAAGTAGATTATCAATTGCTCTCTGTTAGCATCATGGGTGACTTAAGTGTTTTGCATATTCTTCTTGAGTAAAAGTGGAAAAACCCCTAAACTGTGTAAAAAATAATTTCTTTTCATATTTTTAGTGCACTCTACCAAATACAGCTGTGAGTTAAATGGTTCTAATTTTCATTTCTATCAGATTTGGGCCATTTAAAATGACTGGTGTGCATCTTGGTATAATGAGAGCAGAATGTGAAAAAGAAATAAGGCCAAGTAAAGATTGAGACAGAAAAAAGGAGTTAACAGTACTCTGTTTAAAAAAAAAGAAAAAAAAAGAAAGTGAGAAAAGGTAAAACATCCCTCTAACGAAACCATTGCTCAGCACAACACATCAGGGACATGAATTTCCTTTCATTTGACAGATTTCCTGACAGCTTTGGAATTAGTAATTCTTAAGTAAGGTTTTTGCTTGAATAAAAATGATTTTCCATTGGAAATTGGTAATTTTATTCCCAAAATTAAGCAGAAACAACCTACATCCTCTGAAAACAATTTTAAATAATCTGTGACACTGAAAATTATGATTAAAAATTAATTTACAATTTATGGTCAAGTAATCCAACTTCATTATCATGTGAAAAAAAATTTCATTACATGTTCCATTCTATTCACATAGTATATTTAAAGTTTCTTCTCCTGTTGATTATGTCTGAGACTTCAAGCATGGAAATGACTGTCAATTTTTTTCATTTTGTTCTTCTTAAATCAGTGATATTTTTCTTTGAACTACTGCTATTCAACAGAAGTGGATCAGGGAGTGATTCAGAGAGGTTCCCCTTGGTATTTCGTAGGAATGGCAGAAGTCTCTTCTTAAAAGTTAGCTACAATACATAAATCAGGAGTAATATTGTACTCTTCTGTGCAACTACATCTTGTAACTAAGATCAGAATCTGAGTGTACAGACAAGACAATGGCTACAGATCAGACTTTATTTTTAAGGCAAGAAACAGAAATGGATTGGACACAGTACCTATGTAAACCTATGTAAGTACAGATTTTCAAAATCAGAAAAAAGAGTGGAACCTTTTAAAGTTCAACAAAGACAGTGCAGGGTCCTGAATCTGAAGAGGAATAACCCCGCACACCACTACAGGCTGGGGGTCAACCTGCTGGAAAGCAGCTCTGCAGAGGATGACCTGGGGGTCCTGGTGGACAACAAGCCCATTTGCATTACTGTACTTGGGAGATGATAACAGCAAATGATGTCTTATCTTAAAGACATTAAATTTGGGGACAGGGAAAATTAGTCCCTGGTTCCATGTGGTCAAAGCTAATTACCAAAGAAAGCTAAACAATGCAAAAGACAGAGTTTGCAAGCACATGTAGAAACTTTGGTTGTGCAACAGTCTGAAATGCCTATTTAGAAGGTCTGTTTTTCTTCTGCATAAATATGATGGTCACTGGTATTTTATTCTGACAGCTGCACAAGGTAATATTTAGTGGCTCCTCTTTGGATTATGGTGTCATTCCTCTTACAGTACACCACATAAACATCTAGTCAGTGACTTGTGAAAGATGTACTCTTGAACCCTCTCCATCTTGTTAAACTCCTGTCTTAGATATGAGCATCTTACTGCTGCATTAAGTTCTTCATTCCACACATTACCATATTTCATGCGTATTTTGCGTTTTAAAAATGTGTGATTTCTTCAGAACTAGTAAAATGAGAAATTGAAGTGGATTCAGCAAAGGAGTTTTATGAAAAAAATTCTTAAAATAATAACTTCTGGTTTTTTGTATGTAGCACAATTTAATGTTGGGTTAATATTTAAATAATAAACCTAATTATTAAAGATTCAGTAGCACTGTATTTTAATCAAAATGCATTTCTGTATGGCAGTGTTCCTCAGTCTTCTTTTAACCATTATTGCTAGTAAAAATATTATGGAAATGGTGAGCGAGACCATGTATTTATTTGTGTTTAAGTTCCAGTGGGTTGACAGAAAAGCTGTAGAAATACGCATGAAATAGTATGCATGACCTATTTTGCTAGATAATGTTAAAAGAGCTAATTCCGATGACCTTGTTTTAACTTTTATAGTAGGAGGAAACTGTAACAAAGTTGCAAAGGAAACCATCAGTACCGAGTTAATGCATGCTTTAAATTAGATTTGCCTTGTCAGCACTAAAATGACAACGAACATGATTTAGTAACTTTTTCTCTCACTATATTCTCCAGAGGGCTTTCTTTCCTCCTAAAGCTTTTAGAAAGACCTTTGTTGAAAAAAATGAAGTTCCGCTGTTAGATAAGGGTGCCCTCTTATGGAGACTATGGGCACAAAGTCTCGTCGAGTATTTAAAGATTTTTTTCAAGGGCTTAATAGGTTTACTTTACAAGTCATCACAGTGGGTGGTCAATAACTCAGCAGGTGGACAAGTAACAAAATGTGTAATTTAGAAAGCAGAAATAAGCATTTAATTTCTTTGTCGTATCCTCTTATGAAAATCTTCCTCTTTAGGGCAGTTTTACCTTTTGCCTTCAACTCCAACAACTACTGAATTTCTCTTTCGATTACAGGTAGAAATTGTGCAAGTACAATTAACACTGATGGAGAAAAAATTATTCAACACGTGGGGGGAAAATAAAATGTGAATAGCTGAGGTAAGGCTTGATTTAAATTAATAGTTTTGTAAACGCATCTAATCTCTGCCCAGATTAATTTTCAGTATTACTTTATTAACACATATTTAGGGTTTAAGTCAGAATAAAGGTATATATTTCATATATGTAAACTAGATCCAACTTCATCTGTATTACTCTGTGTGTTTTCATGTTGGAAAATCAGACAAATAATTCCATGGATCCATTTTATGAATAGAAATATTTTCTTCACTTCCTACTAAAAACTTATTTATTGTTAATAAACTTTTTTTCTTTCTACTCTACGGTGCTTTTAAAGTGGCAGTCAAAATGCTATTAATGTTTTTCATCTATCCACAACTTTTCCGTCTTTTATATTCCATCCTCACAGATGTAATGACATATGCAGCAATGCAGTAGTTTTTTCATTTGGATTCGTTAATATGTGACTGGAAAGATACATGAAAAGTCCAAGATCTGATGCAGGCCAAAATAATGAGTTAGGATACAGAAATACTGTATTAGTGTTTCTATTAATATTCAAAATTAAGCAGAATGGTTTAGATGTTAGTGTGCTAATGAATTGCTTAAGCAAGAGTTAAATATCTTTAAACGTATTTTCTTCACTGGTAACATTGAAAGTATTGAACATTGAAAATAAACTTGTGTTTTTTAGTATATAAGGATCTGAATAGCTTGTGTCCAAGAGAAAAAGGAGTTGCCTGAGGAGCCCTATGAATCTTTGACATATCTTTTTGTTGCTTTTTACTGTGTAGCACATTTTACCTTTTGCTTTATAAGAAGGTAAGTAGAAAGCTGCAGTTGGAGGTACTCTGACAAACAAATGCAGTTTTACTGAGGCTATTTGTGGAAAACTGTTGTGCTGCCCCCACCACTTAAAGAATTAGCAAACTAGAAGGGCATAAGAAATTGATAGAACAAACAACTTAAAATCTGGAAAATATTTGTGATGCTAAGTGATTAAGGAACTGTATGCTCAGCTTGTCTAAAAGAACTGGCTGGTGTACAGTTATTTAAGATTATTGATGTTAATGTCTCTACTTTGAACAGACAGAATAGGATGTCGTCTTCAAATACCTGTTCCAAGTTACAACTCTTCTGCAAAATACATTTTTCCATCCACTCTGCCTCTTCTTGTTTTTATAATGAAGTGGCAAAGGAATGTGCAGCAGTATCTCATACACAGTACTTTTGGGTTTACTACTACTATTTACATACTATGTATTTTGGCATTTATATTATCTATGATAATATTGAGTCATACCATCAAGAAACATCTTGCATTGATGCTGAATTCTTAGATCACTGTCATGGCAGAATGAGTTCATCCATAACAGTTCTCCCATAGGGTGCTGTCTGAATGATTTATCTTAAAATACAGGAGCTATGGTAAAGGAAATTCAGGAGAAGATAGATAATATAATGCCAGAAAGAAACACCTAATTGGACAATGTAAGTAGTGAAGTCTGATAGTACAATTTTTAAAGAAAAAATACAACTATTAACTAAGAGGGAGGGAGGATTAATTTAAATCCACGTTAAAAAAATCTAATAAACATTTATTTCTTTATGTCTCTTGAGGAAGTTGCTGATCCTGGTGCTCTGTGAAGACATCAGTGAAGCAGCTCCTGAGACAGCAATATTTCATGGCTGACAGAAAAAAGGATTGCTGGAGAAGAAAATAAGATCATTTTAATTTCCCTTATATGCAGTCCTTGTGAGGAAACCATGACATTACTACAAGCACTGTGACTTTAACATGGCTAAAAGCCAAGCTGGAAATACGGTGCAAGATCTGGACTTTCTGAAGCCAATTATCAACCGTCTCCTTGCTAATCATGTTCATGAATAAAAAGTTAGCACATTATATGGTATAATGTTCTTTGGTGAGAAGCGTGGGCAGAGGGTAAGTCTGTTCTGATCTTCAGGATGATCAGCAGATAAGAAACTAAAGGACTAAACAGGTCAAAATAATTTCCTAGCTTTTGGATGCTGGTAACAACCTGTAGTGAGTTTTAACACTTCCACTTAGGGTAATTTGTATCAAGATAGGTACTAGACTTTTTTTTTCCAGTGTTCTTATGTTCAGCACACATTTGTATCCGTGTGTTACTTCTCTCATGGTATACCTAAAGTAAACTGCACATTGCCATATATATAGGATTAATGAGGTTATAAATAGTACCAACACTGTATTTCTTCAAGTGGCAATGCAGCTGTTGGTTACGAAGCCATATCCACTTTGAACACTGAGGGGTGCTATGATATTAAATATTGCAATTCACTCTTCTCTGTATGGAAACAGGTTGTACCATCTGATAAGCCCCTTCACTTTTCACTTATTTATTAGCAATTACAGTTATATGCTATTACTTGTATTAATTAGTAATAATGACTTTATTATTTTTATTGTTGTTATTGTTATTATTATTAGGCATCACTAAGACTTTGTGTGAAAACAGGGGCCAAATAAGTAAAGTAGCGGTAGTTTGTATTGATTGTCTGAATGGAACTCTAGCATTAAGTAATTGTAGCTGAATAATGAATCCAGGTATCATTGCAGTAGATATTGTTGTATAAACAGATGAAAAACACCACTGCTGTGTGGGAAGACTCTGGAATGACCCATTTCAATTCAATTTAAAAATTACTTATTTAATATAATTTAGCATTCTGTGTTGTAAGGTCTCTTGGGTGTATTGCAGTAACATTGGATACTGAAATATTACAGATTTCAAGATAGACAAGGCATTCAGAAAACAATTGTACATCAGCACTAAAACATCAAAATGATAAGGAAAAGAAAAAAATCGGAAACAATTTAAAAGAACATTGAAAAAAGGGGAGGCCATCCCTTTATTTGCGTTGAGTTTTGAGAAAGAGGGAGGAAAAAGGAAAAAGAAAATTTTCCCTCTGCATGTAATTTCTTCCAGTTTAACATTGACTTTTGAATGCATACAGAAATCTAAAGGGTTTCATTTGTAGTCACCAGAGTCAGGCAACACTATCTTCTGTGCTAAGTTACAGCATCTTAGATCTATGTTCTTCAGACCAGCCAGACTGAAGTTATCAAATAGCATTACAATATTGCAGGGAATAAGTGCCTTTTTTTTTTTTTTTTTTTCTTTTTTCCTTTTTTTTTTTTTTTTTTACCTGGCATTAGTTTTTGGGGGGCAGTTTTTTTAAAAAGTCTCAGGTTTTCCCCCTGGGGGAA